TCCCAATGTGTCTGTGTGAGCCTTTGTCTTTTTTGGGGGGAGGGAGGAAGAAAAGGGGAAAAGGTCCTTTTTTTTTTTTTTTTTAGATACCATTCCTCAAAAGGAATAAATGCATACCTGTTTGTCAAAACACCTTTTGCTTTTTGTGCAACTGCTTTATATTAACTATACTAAAAAAAAATAGCTTTGGAAAAAAAAACTACTGTATGTAATGGAATTGCAGAATATGCTGCACATGTATTTTATTTAGTTATCCTTGCTTTAAGAATATTGGATGACATTTGCTGACATGTGGGAGAAAATCCCTGACTTTTTTTTTTTTTTTTTTTTTTTTTTTAATTTTTACATTGTTTTCAATTTTTTTTTTTCTCCTGTTATCATTGATCGAAGCCTCTTTTGTACAGTTTGTGTTAAGCTGGGGTTTTTTTTGTTTGTTTGTTTGGGTTTTTTTTTATACTTTCCCACCCCTTCTGTTATCTTACCACTGCCATTTCTGGCTGTCTTAAACAAAGGTTCATACATTTGAAAAGTAAAAAAAAAAAAAAAAAAGTTGTTTTAAAAATGTTTTTCTCCTGCTGCAGTAAATATTTTGCATGATGAATTCCAGGGTCACACTTTCAAAGTTTATCAGTGAAGTAGTGATTAATAATGGGGCGTGTCAAACTATTGAACTTTTGTATAAAGAAAAAAAAAACTTTACAAGGTGCCAAGATGTAAAGACAATTTGTTACATGTTTTTTTTCTCAAAGAAAAGCGTACATTATGAAAGTAGTACCATGTATCAGGTAAATCGCTGTCAGGAATGAGAGTCAAAGCCTTCCTTGTCCACAAAGAAAAGTTTGTAAATGTAAAACCTGTTAGGTTTCTGCATTTGACTAGAAGTGATATGAAAAATCAAGGCTTATGTAGAACAACGGTGACCACAAAATATTACCTTTTTTGATTGTCGCTTATGAGAGTTCAAGTATAATTCCCAGCACTCTTCTTAAACTCAGATTTTGGGAGAGAGAATGGGGCAGGGATTGTGATTCTACAGATACTGCAGATCATTAGATATTTTATATATACGTATGTATAAAAGTTTTTAAAAATAATTTTAAACTATTGTAGTTTTCAGATTGCCAACAAGCTACATTCCTTATAGCGTGAAGAATGTGTTAAACTCTTTTGAAATCCTTTGGTACCTTTGGTTAATGTACTCAGACTGAATTTTTAGATGTTTCAGAAATCACTTAGCGTTCTAGTCTTGAGAGTAAAATTTGCAGTTATGACTGCATTTTAATGGACCCAGAGTAGGTAACAAAATATCTTCTACCCATAAGCCTTGATGAAAATGGTACAGTCCAGACTGTTAGCATGGTGCTTCATGTGTATGTGCTGCCAGTAACGAGATTTTTTTTTGATAAGGCATAAAAGAAACTCATTCCTTACATCAACTGTAATTCCATCATTCCATGTCTGTTGATACAGACAATAAAAAATGTTGTGTAGTCAGTACTAATTACTGACATTATAGCATTCTCAAATGCAATAAAATGCTGGTTGTTCACACTGGTAATACAAGTTGCCATGTCCTAAGTTTTTGTTTTCTTTTTCCCTTTTATTATCTCATGTTAGTTATAGTCATTACGGTCCCCAGCCTGCAAATGGATCACCATGGGCAGGCCCCTGCACCTCACCAGAGTCCCCATTTAAGTCAATGGAGAGATCTCATCCAAGTCAGTCTGCATGAGGCTTCCCAAGCAAAGCGTGTGGCAGGGTCTGGATCTACATTTAACAGCCATGGGGAGCATAGGCCTGGTCCTCCAAAGCTCAGAACATGCTCAACTTTTTTTTTTTTTTTAATTAATGGAGATATCTCCTAGAACTGGAAGGGACCTTGAAAAGTCATCGAGTCCAGCCCCCTGCCTTCACTAGCAGGACCAAGTACTGATTTTGCCCCAGATCCCTAAGTGGCCCCCTCAAGGATTGAACTCACAACCCTCGGTTTAGCAGGCCAATGCTCAAACGACTGAGCTATCCCTCCCCCATGTGACTCCATGTGACTTCATTGGAAGGCACTCTGCACCTCCCAGAACAGGCCCTTAAATGCATCTGTTTGCAAATAGAAGCAGTGGGTTTGGCCTTTGT